TATGGCAGTCAGATTCGGCCGCGAAAGTCCATAAGGTGAAAGGTCTATTCATATATCTCGTCTGTGATTTTAGCGTCCTCTTCTCATGGATGGAGGTACTTGAAAAACTATTCACTGAATTGGTATTGATGGGCAGAAAGCTGTAGTGTGTGCGTAAATATATATGTGAATTGACTATGGAAGGATTAAAAAACGCAGTTTTCAAACGACCATAACTTCTACAATAGTGAAAGTATTTCATTGGTTCTACCTCTAAGCACTTCCTTGGTCTTCACTGGATTTCTGACCTTGATGTCAACCTCATTATTGACAATCTATGATCATAATTCCATCATTGTTGACCATCGAATAACTAATGACTCATTAAAACCATCACGAAGTTGAAGATTAAAGCCTTCTTACAAGCATCCTCTTACAATTTGATGCGCAATCTTTTTAATATTTTTCTACTTTAAAGGAGTATGTCTCAAGACTAGGAAATGAAAAAAGAATATATGTTGTAAATCAGTAATTTTTTTGTTACAACAATTTTCTGGAAATGCTTGTATTTATTTCTGTGATCGGACTACGGTGATTTAGTTTTAGTCGATATATGAAATTAGTTTTTCTGCAGTTTTCCTTACCCTAGCCACAAGCTATTTTCCGTCATAAAAACTTTTCTCTTTCCCTGTAACTTCCTTAAATTTTGTGCCTTACTGGGATTCAACGGTACCCTAAATTTTAGTTAAGTGTATACGGCAGTGAAGACTGTAGCGCTTGCTTCAGTACGCATGATCAGGAAAATCCCACGAAAGTCCACCTCTGGTCGAACATAATATAATATATTTGTATTACTTTAATTAAGTTAGTAATTCTTGAAAACCTAACCTGTGCCCTTGTAGTCAAACTCGTAAGCGAAGTTGTCCCCAACGGATAGAGCGTACACTACAAAAATTTTTGATTTTTTTAATTTTATTTTTATTTCTTTAATTTTATTTTTATTTTTATTTTTATTCGTCCCCCCTTCTGTAAATTTTATGTTTGTATTAAATAAATGAGCCAATCCTGGCGGCACTGCAATGCCAGGCTGACTCGTGACAGAGGTGGAGCAAGCTCCAACTGCTCCGTCGATTTCCAAAAATCAGATTAATATTCTGACTCCCTGATGGGGAGTGTATCAGATATTAAGCTGATAAGAACAGATAAATGGCTTTTATTTCACATAATGTTTCCCCGGGACCGAGGCCCCGGGGATTAGGTACATGATACAATTGTTCTCAGTTTCTTGTTAATTATATAATTTCCAAAAGGGCGCAGGGACAATCCCCCTGCGCCCTTGTAGTCGCATATTATTTCATTAGTACGTCGCGCTGGGCGTCCATCTAATACAGATGTAAATCCTTCTTTGGGCATTAGTTTTGTCAGTCAATGATAATATATAAATATATAAATAAATAAATAAATAAATAAATACATATATATATGACAAACACAACAATAACAACTAACAATCAATAAGCCATGTAGCCGGTGTAAAGGGCCGGACTACTTGTCAAGTATAAAATAAATAAATAGATAAATAAGACAAAATACAGTAAGGTATGAAGCCCGACATGTTTCGTGGACGCCCGCTACTCGTCTTCTCGAGCACGGGGCAGTCCGATGGTGCCAATATGTACGGCCCCTTGACCCCCACGGTCGTCGTTTATATTATTCAGTCCTCTCTGCGCCGCCGCGTTATCGTTGGCATCGGGCGCCGAGGTCGGGGCGGGGTATTGCCGTATCCCGGAGACATGCTCCACGTACATGTCCCTGGACCAGGCTATGGTCTCAGATACCATGAGACGTCTCATGATTCTCGCATAGAACCATGAGACGCGCAGCGTCTTCAAAAGGGCCTCGTTCTCCGGGCACCAGGCGCCCAGGGCCCCGACGATGAACGCGTCCACGTGGACGGTGTAGCCGCGCCGGCGGAGAGCACACGCCAGAGGCGCGTATTTTCGCAGCTTCTCCGCCTTGGCCTCTTCAAAGGCCACCGAGGTGTTCTCGAAAGGCACGGCCACATCGACCAGGTGGACGGTCCGCGACGGCTCATGCGTCACAACTATGTCGGGACGCAAGGCCGCCAGTTCGTCAGGGGCACCCGGGACACGCCGGTCCACCCGGATGTCGCCCGGGAGACGGGTCGCCGTCGCAAGCCTGCGAACCAGGCCGTGGTGCCGGAGCTGGCGAGCCGCCGAATGAACGCCGCAGTGACCGAGCACATGGGGAAGGCTCTCGAGTTTGTACCCGCATCGCCGACAGCGCTTGTCGCCTCCCCCCCAACGGATCGCTCCGTTGAGCGGGAGGACGTCAAGGCGCGCACGGTGGATAAAGCGCCAGTCGGCGAAGCGGGTGAACGACCCCCCACGCATGAAGTGATTGCTCACCGCATGGCGGGAGGTCACCCCAAAGACCTTCCCCTGGTCAGGTTTTCGGACCAATGTCTCCATGTAGTGCCCGGTCACTGCCGCCCTCATGCGGCGGATTATCTCAGCCTTTGCTCCTGGTGACACCACGACCGGCTCGCCCCGCGATGCAATCTCCACCGAGAGCTCGGCCCGACCATCGTCCCATCTCCACTGGAACCCGAAACGCGCCGCAGACCTGAGCGCGGCGGACCGCACCCGCGACCAGAATGAGGAACATCCGGTGGTTGGCAACGCGAAGTCCCCGGTCAAACGACCCGACAGGTACTCCGCGAGGTCCCCCTCTGTCGGAGGTCGACGCAGCTTGTCCCGCGCCGCTGTGTCAAGGGATGCTCCTGCCACCGACGCAACGACCGGGTCCCCTGCGTTCAGGAGTCTGAACGCGTGGGCCACGGTCGTCACGTCGGCCAGGTCTGCCAGCGGGAGGATCCCACATCCACCCCGCGAGGGAGGGATGTAGACCACCTCCGCGCTGGCCCGCTGTGGCAAATTGAGCCACCCCTTGACCGCGCGCCTGACTGCCTTGTCCACCTCCGCCAGTGCGGACTTCCTCAAACTGGCGCCCCGTAGCAGGAAATCCAAACGTGGAATTATAACCGATCGTAAGGTTTCCACCTTCTGCCACGGAGCCAGCAGGGAGCGATCCACCGCCCCCAGGTCCCTCAGCACGTCTCGGATCGCGGAGTAGGGCGTCTGGTCGATCCGAACCCCGGTGGGTACGCCCAGGTGTTCGTAGGCGTCCCCGTCTCCGAGCGCTGGAACGAGTCCCTCGTTGAGGCCAAACTCGGTCCGAGCCACCGCGCCGCTCCCGAGTACGTGCAGCGTAGCGCACTTCCCCGGGTTAAACGCGAGACCCAGGCCCCGAGCCGTGGCCTCCGCTGCACCCAATAGCCCTCTCATGCTTTCGGGGGACGTCGCGATCAACGCGATATCGTCCGCGTAGGCCAGGGCTGCTACCCTGAAGCCCGCCATCTCGTACCCGGCTCCCGACTCCGTGGCCTGACGGACCACGGGTTCGATCGCCAGGTTGAAGAGTATTGGGCTCAGGGGGCAACCCTGTCTTACTCCCGACCGCATGGGGATCCTATCGGTGAATCCTTCGGCGGTACGGACCCTCGTCGTGCAATCGGTGTATAAGCACCGGACGAGGTTAACGGTCGCGCGAGGGGCACCGGCACCGGCCAGCGCGCCAAGAATGGTAGCGTGTGGGACCGATCCAAAAGCATTGGAAAGGTCCAGCCACGCCACCACCATTTCCCTTCGCCGTCGTTTCGCGTCGGCCAGGGCCCCCTGCAGAACGAAGTTGTGCTCGAGGCACCCCTCATACGGCAGGAAGCCCTTCTGTGCCGGGGAGAGCCGTCGGTTTTGGACGGCCCAGCGGGTGAGACGGTCGGCCATCACGGCGGCAAATAGTTTGGGGATGACGTCGCCCATAGCGATGGGACGCCAGTTGCTGAGGTCATCCCTTTCACCTTTCTTGTGAAGCAAGATGGTGTTGGACTCCTTCCACAGGGAGGGAATCGACTCCACCCGACGGCACGCATTGTATGCCGCCGTCAGGACCTCGGCTCCCGGATCGGCCCCCCTCAGGTCAGCGTAGGTGATTCCATCCGGTCCAGGGGATGAGTTCTTCATCCTCCGGAGTCGGGTGGATACCTCCGCCGCCCCAAAGGGCCTCTCCAGTGCTTCACTGGTACCTTCATCCGGCTGGTCGTGGTGGAGCGCCGGGAAGTGTTCCGAGCGATCCCGGACCGCATATATCGAACTAAAGTGCCCTTGGACGATGTCCTTGGGCACCTGGCAGTGCGGAGATTGCCCGGCTAGCACCTCCTGCACTGCCCGCTTGCGGTTCGCTCGGAACAGACGCTGAATACGCGTCGCTTCCCGGACGTGTTCCGTCCGTGTGAGAGGAGCCTCGGTCGCTCCGTTGCAACTGGCGTCCCTCCGGGGACGCCCCCCCAATCCATCCGCCGCATCAGGCCTTCCGCCCCCCCTACCAGTGGCTCGTGCGGCACCCCCCCTTCCGCGAGCAGAACTCCTCTCTCCAAAGAAATCCGCCACAAGGACGGCAAGGGCCTCTAAGCCCTCCGCTGTCACCACCGCCTCCGCGACCGCGACGATACGCGCCCTTTCGGACGCGTCCTCGGCGCCACCGCGTCGGCGGGGGACAGCCATAGGAGTCCGCTCTCCCCGGGGGGGTCCGCGCCCTCTCCCTGTACGCTCCGCGATTGCGTCGGTACTACGCGCCGGCCCATGCCTGAGCCCCACGCACGCCCGCTGTGTCCGCTCACCTCCGGTCACCATCGGGTCACGACGTGCAGCTGCCCTCGGGTTGGCCGCACTCCCACACCCCCTCGTCGCCGTCCGCCTTCGATCCACGGCGGCGTCTCTCGAAATGACCGCAGGGGTGGCACCTCTCGGGGCCGCAGTTCTGAAAACAGAGCCCCGGTTTGACCCGGGGGTATTAATCGGACTGCCCCGGCTCGCGTCCACATACTATATCAATGCTGTCGTTATCTGGTTACTAAAAATTAATGGGGACTGGTGGCCCTATCACAGAACCTTTTTACAGCCATTATCCTCAGTGACGTTCCTGTCACTGGTATTATTATTATTATTATTATTATTATTATTACTATGTGGGCCTCGGTCCATGTTTTGGCCCCGTTCCGCCTCCACGGGAGGTCCGACCGCTCTGGCGCTGCCGGGGGGCCTTCCTCTTCTTCCCGTTCCTTTTCTATGCTCCCCCGGCACGGGAGTCCGCAGCCCTGCCCTCTTCCGTCCTCTTCTGGAGGCCGCCACTCTCCAATCCTCGTCCGACGACGACGACGGAACCGCCGCTGCCTCTTTTTCTTCTCCCGACGACGACTCCTCGATGGCCGGGAGTTTCCTCCCCCTCCTTCTCCTTGTCGTCCCCACATCCGGGGAGATGGGGGCGGTGGTGTTGCCCCCCTCCGTCTGTCCCCCGGGCGGAAGGGACGTCGCCCGGGCGCTTCTCCCTCTCCTCGGTGTGGGGCATCCTACTGCCGCCGGTGATGTCGTCGGCGGCGTCCTTCTTCCGGTCGCGACTGGTACCACCGCCAGGGGGGTGCCGCTGGTCCTCTTCCTCCTTCCAGGTGTCCCCGGGGTCGTCCGAGGGGGCTCGGTGGCGGCCCTCCTGGCTCGCGCCCTCGTCCTGGGCGCGAGCGCCGGCGGCGAGGTGGAATTGCCGCCGGCTGTCCCCCTCGGCGATGGAGTTGGACCCCGGGTGGGCGGTGGTGTCACGACCGGTGCGGGGATTGACCCCCGAACCACCGAAGTCGTCGTCGTCGCCGTCGTCATCGTCGTCGTCGTCGTCGTCGTCGTTACCGCTGCTGCCGAAGTTACAACCACCAGGGTGGTTCTGCCGGGCGACGACGAATGGCCGGAGTTAGTCTGGTGTATATGTCCGGCGGGGGGGGGCGGCTGGGTGGTGGTGGCCCCCCCCTCCGTCGTCGTCCCGGCCGGCGAGGGTGTTCCGGTCGACCTCTTCCTCTTATCCCTCGCCGTAGCTGTCGTTGCCACCCCGGTGGTGGCGGCCGGCGGCCCCCGGGTGACCTCCGCGAAGGTGGTGGTGGGAGTCACCCTCTTGTTGCACCCCCTCGGTGCAACCGTCGTGGGCACGGGCTGCGTCCCGCTGCGCCTGGCGGCGACGGTCAGGAAGCTCCTCATCGTCGTTGTAGCGGCCCTCGTCGCCGCTACCGTCGCCGCCGTTGTCCCCCGCCTCGTCGATGTCCTCGCCGTTGTCGTAGTGGAGGCGGAGGACGTAGTCCTGCAACGGGAGGTCGATACCGCCACCGCTGGCACGCGTCTTCTCGCGCATGGCGGTTCGCCTCCCCGAACGGTCGGTCGACCCGCTTCGGCGGGATTCGGGGCCTCGCTTCTCGCGCCCTCGCGAGGGGAGCCCGTCCCCCCCGCGGGTCCGCTGGCCGGGGATGCGGACGCGTCGCCCGGGGCGGCCGATGGTGCACCAGCGGCAGGAGGACCCAGTGCACCACTACTGTGGTTTGCTGCGTGGTGCAGCTTCACCTTTCGCAGCGCGTACGCGCTGCTATCGGTGAAGCCGCACTCACCGCAGACAAACCTCCGGGTTATGCCCGAATGGTGAAGTCTAAGGTGCTTACCCAGGTCCTCGTGCCGCCGGTACACCGCCGCTCCCCTCTGCAGCGCCGTGGCCCCCCGGTGACAATGGGGGCAGTTGAAGACCTCGGGGAACGGGAACTGTACGATTACCTCGTTACCCCGGGCGACGCATCCAGATCCTTCGGCCATGCCTGAAACTCACAGAAAGCAAGCAAGCGAAAGTAAAAGCAGACAAGTTAAAAGCAAGAGTAAAAGCAAGATCAAAGGAGAGTAGTTAAAAGGAGTCAGAATATTTAAAAGTTAAAATTAGTCAAAAGTTAAAAATAAGCAAAGTCAAAAGATTAAATATTTAAATAAATAAATAAATAAAATACTTAAAATTGTCGTAGGGAAAAATTGAGCCAATCCTGGCGGCACTGCAATGCCAGGCTGACTCGCGACAGAGGTGGAGCAAGCTCCAACTGCTCCGTCAATTTCCAAAAATCAGATTAATATTCTGACTCCCCGATGGGGAGTGTATCAGATATTAAGCTGATAAGAACAGATAAATGGCTTTTATTTTCAATAAATGTTTCCCCGGAGCCGAGGCCCCGGGGATCAGGTACATAATACAATTTTTTTTATATTTTCTTTTAAATTCTAAATTTCAGAAGGGCGCAGGGACAATCCCCCTGCGCCCTTGTAGTCGCATTTCTATACTATTTATAAATCGCGCTGGGCGTCCATCTAATAAATGAACGTCTGTAAACGGCTCTTTGGGCGTGTCCTTAGGCTATTCCAATATGTTAACATAAATAAATAATAAATAAATAAATAAATAAATAAATAAATATATAAATGGACAAACACAACAACAACAAACAATAATAAGCATGTAGGGTGTAAAGGGCCGGACTATTGTCAATGGGACAAAAACAAGAATAATACATAAATAAATAAATAAATACAGTGAAAAATTAAAGACAAAATACAATAAAGTAAAATAGCCTAAGTGCTCATGTGGACGCCCGCTGCTCGTCTTCTTGAGCACGGGGCAGTCCGAAGGTGCCAATATTACGGCCCCTCGACCCCCACGGTCGTCATTTATATTACTCAATCTTCTCGGCGCCGCCGCGTTATTGTTGGCATCGGGCGCCGAGGTCGGGGCGGGGTATTGCCGGATCCCGGAGACATGCTCCACGTACATGTCCCTGGACCAGGCTATGGTCTCAGATACCATGAGGCGTCTCATGATTCTCGCATAGAACCATGAGACGCGCAGCGTCTTCAAAAGGGCCTCGTTCTCCGGGCACCAGGCGCCCAGGGCCCCGACGATGAACGCGTCCACGTGGACGGTGTAGCCGCGCCGGCGGAGAGCACACGCCAGAGGCGCGTATTTCCGCAGCTTCTCCGCCTTGGCCTCTTCAAAGGCCACCGAGGTGTTCTCGAAAGGCACGGCCACATCGACCAGGTGGACGGTCCGCGACGGCTCATGCGTCACAACTATGTCGGGACGCAAGGCCGCCAGTTCGTCAGGGGCACCCGGGACACGCCGGTCCACCCGGATGTCGCCCGGGAGACGGGTCGCCGTCGCAAGCCTGCGAACCAGGCCGTGGTGCCGGAGCTGGCGAGCCGCCGAGTGAACGCCGCAGTGACCGAGCACATGGGGAAGGCTCTCGAGTTTGTACCCGCATCGCCGACAACGCTTGTCGCCTCCCCCCCAACGGATCGCTCCGTTGAGCGGGAGGACGTCAAGGCGCGCACGATGGATAAAGCGCCAGTCGGCGAAGCGAGTGAACGACCCCCCACGCATGAAGTGATTGCTCACCGCATGGCGGGAGGTCACCCCAAAGACCTTCCCCTGGTCAGGTTTTCGGACCAATGTCTCCATGTAGTGCCCGGTCACTGCCGCCCTCATGCGGCGGATTATCTCAGCCTTTGCTCCTGGTGACACCACGACCGGCTCGCCCCGCGATGCAATCTCCACCGAGAGCTCGGCCCGACCATCGTCCCATCTCCACTGGAACCCGAAACGCGCCGCAGACCTGAGCGCGGCGGACCGCACCCGCGACCAGAATGAGGAACATCCGGTGGTTGGCAACGCGAAGTCCCCGGTCAAACGACCCGACAGGTACTCCGCGAGGTCCCCCTCTGTCGGAGGTCGACGCAGCTTGTCTCGCGCCGCTGTGTCAAGGGATGCTCTTGCCACCGACGCAACGACCGGGTCCCCTGCGTTCAGGAGTCTGAACGCGTGGGCCACGGTCGTCACGTCGGCCAGGTCTGCCAGCGGGAGGATCCCACATCCACCCCGCGAGGGAGGGATGTAGACCACCTCCGCGCTGGCCCGCTGTGGCAAATTGAGCCACCCCTTGACCGCGCGCCTGACTGCCTTGTCCACCTCCGCCAGTGCGGACTTCCTCAAACTGGCGCCCCGTAGCAGGAAATCCAAACGTGGAATTATAACCGATCGTAAGGTTTCCACCTTCTGCCACGGAGCCAGCAGGGAGCGATCCACCGCCCCCAGGTCCCTCAGCACGTCCCGGATCGCGGAGTAGGGCGTCTGGTCGATCCGAACCCCGGTGGGTACGCCCAGGTGTTCGTAGGCGTCCCCGTCTCCGAGCGCTGGAACGAGTCCCTCGTTGAGGCCAAACTCGGTCCGAGCCACCGCGCCGCTCCCGAGTACGTGCAGCGTAGCGCACTTCCCCGGGTTAAACGCGAGACCCAGGCCCCGAGCCGTGGCCTCCGCTGCACCCAATAGCCCTCTCATGCTTTCGGGGGACGTCGCGATCAACGCGATATCGTCCGCGTAGGCCAGGGCTGCTACCCTGAAGCCCGCCATCTCGTACCCGGCTCCCGACTCCGTGGCCTGACGGACCACGGGTTCGATCGCCAGGTTGAAGAGTATTGGGCTCAGGGGGCAACCCTGTCTTACTCCCGACCGCATGGGGATCCTATCGGTGAATCCTTCGGCGGTACGGACCCTCGTCGTGCAATCGGTGTATAAGCACCGGACGAGGTTAACGGTCGCGCGAGGGGCACCGGCACCGGCCAGCGCGCCAAGAATGGTAGCGTGTGGGACCGATCCAAAAGCATTGGAAAGGTCCAGCCACGCCACCACCATTTCCCTTCGCCGTCGTTTCGCGTCGGCCAGGGCCCCCTGCAGAACGAAGTTGTGCTCGAGGCACCCCTCATACGGCAGGAAGCCCTTCTGTGCCGGGGAGAGCCGTCGGTTTTGGACGGCCCAGCGGGTGAGACGGTCGGCCATCACGGCGGCAAATAGTTTGGGGATGACGTCGCCCATAGCGATGGGACGCCAGTTGCTGAGGTCATCCCTTTCACCTTTCTTGTGAAGCAAGATGGTGTTGGACTCCTTCCACAGGGAGGGAATCGACTCCACCCGACGGCACGCATTGTATGCCGCCGTCAGGACCTCGGCTCCCGGATCGGCCCCCCTCAGGTCAGCGTAGGTGATTCCATCCGGTCCAGGGGATGAGTTCTTCATCCTCCGGAGTCGGGTGGATACCTCCGCCGCCCCAAAGGGCCTCTCCAGTGCTTCACTGGTACCTTCATCCGGCTGGTCGTGGTGGAGCGCCGGGAAGTGTTCCGAGCGATCCCGGACCGCATATATCGAACTAAAGTGCCCTTGGACGATGTCCTTGGGCACCTGGCAGTGCGGAGATTGCCCGGCTAGCACCTCCTGCACTGCCCGCTTGCGGTTCGCTCGGAACAGACGCTGAATACGCGTCGCTTCCCGGACGTGTTCCGTCCGTGTGAGAGGAGCCTCGGTCGCTCCGTTGCAACTGG